CTTCACAGAGGGGAGGAACATCAAAGTCACAAAAGTGGAGTGGGGGAACAGAAGAGTAATTCACAGATGTAAAAGAGACACAAAGGTAGAGAAAAGGAAAGGTGAGTACTGGGGAAGTGGATGAATATGATATACAGTTGGGTCATGGCAGTTTGAAGTCAGCTGCCGATTTGTAGACTTCATTGCCTATGAGTGTACGTGTTGCCAAGTGGGCACCACGTGGAGGTAAGTCTATCGCTCACCCCATGCTTAAATGAGTTCGCAATGTTGAGAGAAGGTAAAGTAAGGCAACGGCTGGGTGACACCAAGCATCAATCTTTCACCTGAAGGGTTCTAAGTACATTCAAATGTTGTCCCACCTGTAAAATAAGTAGACTCCGCCCTTGAGTATGAATTGTCTATGACTCATGTCAATGCTATAGGATGATTCATAGTCATTGAAACTCTTTGGTACAGCTTACGAGGAAGTGCTCTAGTTACTGTACTTGTAATTCTATTTGGCGATGTATTTTATGCTCATCTTTTCAGCCATCTTATAAGTTATGGAAATTTATATTGCCTGTCCCGTTTCAAAAATTGTGCGGACTTTAATTAAGTTGTTAAAATCTAGTCCTCAGGCGAATTAGAAGAATGCAGTAATTTAAGCATGGGAATATTCATTTCTAATAATGCAGTCTTGTCAACTAAGATCTTAAAGTACGCTATTATAATAAGTATTTACAAATTTGGCGAAGTAGTCCACTTTCCAACTCCAATTTTGTTGTAAGGAAGATGCCTAACCATTTAGAAGTCGTTCATTCAAGTCAATCGGTTCATGAGCCAGAAATGCACAAATTTTAAACTGTGAACCCTCTATAGTCAGTTAAACTTATATATAAGGGGAAAAAATAAAACGCCAAGTTGATTTTTACGGAACTGAACGACAATTCACAAACTAAACCATTACAAATTCTCGAATTTCTTTTAATTGTTCATTAGAAATGAGGAATAGGGGACTCGTTAGGAAGTAATTTCTGAGGTTTCTATTTACATAGAAGGATTATATACATATAAATAGATAAATGGAGTCAGAACCTAGTTTCTTTAATCCAAAGATGACGAAAGATACTTAGAGAAGCTCATGCTAAAATCAATACTGTTACTGTCAAGGTGGCTCAGATAAAACTCAAGGCTGCAGTCTCTCTAACGGAGTTCAGACGTTTAAGAAATTGTGGTTGAATGCTTACGGACAATTTGTGTGTAAATGAAACTTTATGCTACATGGGTTTACTTGTCAGGACGCAAATATATATTTTTCCTTGACTGTAGTGGCATTCATTTTATGTTCCCCTTTGGTGATAATTATAAAATTATTTAGGAGGAATTATGAATAACCTCATACACAGTGCACAACTTTTCCGTAGCAACTGGATAACTTTTTGCACAATTTTAACATATTTTGGTATTTCCTCTTCGCCATACTGCCATTTTTATAGATATTTTTGAATTTTAATCTGGAACTACAATAAAATTCGCAATTAATCGATGTAATTTTAAAAACGCCTCACCGTTTTTATTTAATCTAAATCGAATAAAAGTGAAGTTCAAGGTTTCTGCCCATTATCTCTAGGTCATCAATATCCGTGGAAATAGCTTATTCTAAATGTAGGGAACCGAAATGGTTTCGTATTGAAATGTGAATAGATTTTATTGTTACACAAATATCGATAAGTTAGAGATAATTTCGATGCATTTCCAGACATAAAGTCACGCCGAAAATAAATTCTCATAGGGTATCTTCCCTTCAATGTATACCGGAATAAGGGGTGCTGGGTAATGAAAGCAGCCGCGTAAATACTCTCTCATGGGCCATAAATTGCACCTGGATGCATATATAATAAGGTGATAATCCTCCCTCTGCCTCACAATGCGTCTTATCACTCCGCACCATCAGGCAGTTAGTCCACGCACACATTACTGCCACCCACCAGCGCTAACAACTCACAATCCATTCAAAGAACCGAATGCTGGCATCCACGCTTGCATGCAAATGCAGAGATCTAATCTCTCCTCGCGCTATTCTCATTTCTCCCTGCTTCTCCCACTCGTAATCAGAGCCCATTCACGCCTCCTGCTCATAAACACCTTCCACACTCTTACTATGCGAATAAACGGTAAATAGTGTGCGCGTGTAATGTATATCTAGCTGTTCTTTCCACAATCGCTTTACGATATCCGATAATTCAGCCATAGGATTAAGTGACATATTCATTATCAACAAAGACTAGTGTTCCGCACAGCTAGGTTGTCAGTAGGGTTAATACTTCTCGATACACAACCAAATGATGTGGATGGTCAATCGGCCTAGTTAATTTTTGTCGTAAAGGGGTTTGTTGAAGACACTTTAGGTAATTCTTTGACATCCACCTGCTACCCGAGATTTAATACCTCGACTTGATGTAGCAGTAGCTCCAATCTCTTCTGCCATCCTTTTTTTCGCTTACACTACTTTCGTCAAAGTAATTGGGTACTTGGAGTATTGTCAGTTGCTTCGATGGAGTGTTTCATTTGTGAATATTTTTTTGCAAGGGTATTTGAGCATAATTTCATTCATCAGAATCTCATCTTTAGGCACTATTTTAGAGGTAGTAAGATGCTATGATTATTGCACGTATTTGGGAGAAGAAAAAGCCTCACATGATTAAGGGGTAGTCTCTTGTTTACTACTCATTTCAAAAGGTGGAACACGCACTGGTAGTTTTAAATGGTAAAAATGTGAAGAAGCTCGTTGGAAGAGGACTTTACTATGAATTATGTTTTGATAAATGATATTTTACTCCATACATTTTGCATACCTTAATGGTTCCATAGACTTGAAGTCAGTGATGTTTGTTATATTTGCGCAATCTCTTCGAAAGGACGTAGATATTTGATACTTGTGGAATGGAAGTCACAGTTGTTAGAAGCCTCATTTATAACAGTTCTTTGGCAAGCGGTTACAATCGTCGAGAGGAGACGTCCAAGTCTTTGAGTTATGGATGGCCTTTTTTATATTTAATTGCTAAGCAGAAATGAGTTTTATTGAGGACTTTAATTCTCCTTCAATTTTTGAATTGCCCAATAGTTATCTCGTTTCTTTTAAACTTTCTATTTTGCTATATTGAAAATTGTTCTATTTATATTAAATATAAATAAGAATTTACTGTTTATATTGAGTATTTATTGTGTATTGTTAGAGTATAATAAATTACATTGGTTTAGAAAAACAGTGTGTTCACAATTCTTAACTAAAAACTGTGGTGTCACAGACTCACAGTATCACAGCGGTGAAATATTTACACGCATGTTGGTGTTTTCTCTGCAGGTCGTCGGGTCGTCACTCAAGTGCTGGAAATCACAAGCGTGACTTCACCCCGATCCCCTCGCCTCGATTTAACCGACCTGCCTCTGTACCAATCGATAAGGAGTCTCCAAATCCCACTTCAAATCCTCCCGCAGCAATTCCCGACACACACCCGCCACCCCCTCCTAGACCTCCGCTACCTTCACCCAGCCCCCTACTTCACCAAAAGGCTCGTTTCGCCTCGAAAAAGGAGATAACAGCCACCTACCTCACTCCATCCCACTGGCGAAGCGAACATTCTGATGAGTACAAACGTACAGCCAGTGAAAATCTTCAGGCTCAGTTGGCTTCCCAACAGCTACTACTTATACAAAATAATAGTAGTATCGAGGGTCTTCTGCCTGAAGCGAAGAAGCTATCGGTATCTGAGGTATACGAGAGTGTTGAAAAGAACTCTGTTCTAGAGACTGCGGTACCCTATGTCGAAGAACACGAGGAAGGATCGACTTCTACCACCAGTTCAATCGACACCACTCCGAAACCGACGAGAAGGGAAATTGCTTCTTCTCATTCTCACACTCCTGTGGTGGATGGTAGTGAAGACAGTGCAATTGGCGATACAGATGGTTCACCAATTGTGAGTCAGGAATCGCCAAAACGTGTGGAAGGAAGTAAATCAATCTTGAGAAAAGATTATGGGGTGGAGGGAAAGATGGAGAATGATGAAATGAAAGAGAGGAAATCGAGCCCAGGTTCTCCGAAAGTTGGTGTTAGATTCCATCCGCTGGCATTGCTTCTTGATGCTGCTTTGGAGGGGGACTTAACGTTGGTTAAGAAAGCATCGGAAGAGGTTAGTACTCCCTACTAATTTTAGAAATTTTTTCTTTTCATGAATTCTAGAGCATTGTTATTATTATAGGCAAAGGGTATACATATTTCGGTGTTTGATGATGAGGCTTGTAAATTTTAGATATACTGGTTCTAGTCTATTTTGATTAAGCGAATTGCAATCAAGCTAGCCAGATTTTGAAGCGATAAACGAGTGCTTATTCTGATGTGCACTGCCATATGCTTGTCCGACATATTCCCATAATAAATAATGTTCATTTTATTTGAAAAGTGGAGGCTTTTGTAAATGGTACTTTGTAGTGTACTGAATTGGTCACACCATTCGATTTCGTTTCAATACAATTCCAAAGATAATTTCGTTACTGCTGCATTGTAAATGCGCTTGCCTGATGTTTCGTATTAATCCATCAAAGTGTTTACTTACCGATTTCCTTCGTTCTAATTGAGTAAATCTTTAGAGGAAACTTTAACACCCCGTGGTATTATTGTCCCCTCCTCATGTTATCTATATATAAGAAATAAATTCATTGAGAGGATCAACGCAATTTGATATCTTCAATACTTCACTAGTAGTTTTCTACATACGTTAGTGGTTCCCATCTTTGCCACACCATAGTTGCCAGGAAAAAATATTCCTATTTCCCAAGCAACATCTTGCACATGCAAGAGATGAGTGTTGCTTTCATTGGGTAGCAATCCTTGGGAAGCCTATTTCCCACCTTCATTATCATCCATTTCAGTAGTCAGCAGATTTTGATGGAATTTATCTTCTGGTTATTTGTCAAATTTGCAAATTTTGACTAACAAAATGCGAATTCATTAGGGAGGTAGGTCTTACTATACTTAAAATCCAAAAGTTGATTCGAATTCATAATTTTTCAACGAGAATGTGAATCTTCCCTCTCTGTTTTCGCAGAGAGTAAAATAACCTACGGTTTGAAATTGGTTTCCACTTTCTACGTCTTACGGCTGAACATTTGATAGGAAATTTATTGAAAATTTGCTTACTTACTTACTTAAATGTTGTCGTCAAGTATGGGTGAATACTAAATCTGATGCATCCTATAAGCAATCTATCAGTACCAGGTCTTACCCAAATATACTCCTTAAATGTTCTTTAAAAAAAATATGGAGACGGATATATCAGACACATTTTGAGATATCCTTTCGCAATCATCTTTTTCTTGGAGTTATATTTTCATCTAAATTCAAATTGATTTTCAGTCGTTAACTGAATGGTCTGGTGTGGCCAAGCCTCAACCAACTATTATTCCAGTAGAGTTTCAAAGAAGATGGTATCTAGGTGTTTGATAAAATGTTCCCTTTAGTTGAAAGCTGAAAATAGTTATTAACGTCTTTATTCTGAAATCATCTGTAATTTAAGGGTATATACGTCATTTATTTGATGAATCGATAGCTAATCGATAACTGTTAATCATTAGGTGAGTCACTTTTCTCGCGTTTTGGCTGCCCCTATTCACTCTATTGTTTTATTTTTTCGGGACGTGCGATAGACTTACCTCCATGTGGTCTATAATCGACATTTGACTTCTCACTTCAAGCTACCATGACTCGACTGTATGCCTTATTCGACCACTTCCACTGTACTCACCCCGATACCTTTTTTCCCAACCTTTTTATCTGTCTCTTTGGCATATGTGAATTACTCTTCTGCTCCCTCTTTCCGCGTTTTGTGACTTTGTTCCTCCTCTCTGTGAAACCCGAGGTCAACTTAAGGGCTAATGATAAATATCATAAAGCCTGCCATTTGATATAAATAAATTTTATGTTCCCTCTTCATTTAGGTTTCAGACGTATCGGAAGCTAATGATGAAGGCATAACAGCTCTCCACAATGCCGTTTGTGCTGGTCGATCCGAGGTGGTTGAATTTTTGGTTTGTGAAGCGGGTGCTGATGTGAATGCAGGAGATACAGACGGTTGGACACCCCTACATTGCGCCGCCTCATGTGCCAATCTGGCGCTGGCTCGACTCTTGGTTGAACATGGTGCTGCATTGCATGCTCGAACCCTGTCTGATCACGAAACTGCTCTGGAAAAGTGCGATCAGGCTGATGCCGATGCGGAATGCGAGAAGTATTTAACCGGTGAGCTGATTGGTGCACTGTATTCGTTGCTGAATAATAAGGTTCATAGGTCGGCTAGTCGTGATTAGCAATGTGGACTTAGTTGAGCTAATGGGCCCCAATTTTAGATATTTATTATTTATTTATTTATTTCAAATGGCAGGCATTATGATAGGTATCATTAGCCCTTTAGTTGACTTCGGGCTTCACAGAGGGGAAGAGGAGGAACATCCAACTGGTAAAAAGTCGAGAGGGGGAAGAATAATGATTCACTGACGTAAAAGAGACAGACAGACACAAAGGTAGAAAAAAGGTGAGGTGAATACTGTGGAATTATTCGAATATTAAATGTAATGGGGTCATGGTAGTTTGAAGTCCGAAGTCAACTGCCGATTTATAGACTTTTTTGTCGTATGAGTATACGTTGCCCAGAGTGCACCACGTGGAGGTAAGTCTATCGCACACCCCATTTTAGATATTAATATGGTGATTTTTTTACTGGAAGACCAACGCACCCATCTTGTTAAATCTGGATGATCTATACTGGATTTCATTTAAAAGAGATTAAAGCAGTGAATAAGTTTGATATAAAATTTGTTTTGAAAGGTTCCATTTGCTTAGTTTCACTTAATTTATTGAATAAAGCAGTATAAAATATTTTTAAAGAGGGTGGGGGGGGGGGGTCTTGCACAGCCTTTGTCTTATTGGTTATTCAAGTCGAAAGTTTGAAATCCTTTCCTGAATGAGCTTGAAAATTATTGAAGAATTCCTGTAGCTGAAGCCTTATTGATTGCCTTTGAACTGAAATACACTCTAGGCACTTTCTTACTTACCACATGGAGACGTATTCATATGAGACGTTTCACTGTCTTCTCAATTGACCAATGTAAATATATTTTAAACAGATGGGTGATTATACAGATGCCCTAGTAGTGGAATAAATATCTCTAAATTTATTTATTTATGTCAAATGGCAGGCGTTTTGATAGTTATTATTAGCCATTTAGCTGACTTCGGGCTTCGCAGAGAGGAGGGGGAACATTAAAGTGACAAAAAGTCGAGAGGGAGGACGGAATAATGATTCACAGACGTAAAAGAGACAGACAGACACAAAGGTAGAAAAAGGTGAGGTGAGTACTGTGGAATTATTCGAATATGAAATGCAGTGGGGTTTTGGTAGTTTGAACTCAGAAGTCAACTGCCGAATAATAGACTTTTTTGGCCGTATGAGTATACGTTCCCCAGGGTGCTCCACGTGGAGGTAAGTCTATCGCACTCCCCATATCTCTAAAATTAATTTAACGGAAGTGAGTTAGTAATGAAATTCGTTAATTAGATTCCAATAGTTTGCTTGTACAATATTATGATTTTTGCTTCGGGCCAAAAAAGGTCAACATTTCAGGAAAATTGGAATAGTTTTGGGCCAGAAATGTGGACGAGCCTTAGTGAAAACAATTGAAAATAACTATGATCGGGAGATTTCAGTTTAAATTCACAATGTCATGCTCGATGATGATAAAATATTTGTTTTACCACTTTAGCCGAACAAGATCTCCTGGGTAGTGCCGACAATGGTCGTGTTTACGCTCTCTTTCCTCGAGGTCTCGAATTCGCTGGTCCAGGTTCCCCAGATGCTCATATTGAACCTGACGAACTTCCCATTTATCCCAACGAAGAGCTCCGTATTATCGACCGCTTTCCGAAAGATGAACCTGATTGGATGCTTGCAGAAAAGATCAACATAACTGACGGTGAATCAACTCCTCAAAAGGGTCTTGTACCGCGTGCCTTCATTTCCCGCTTCAAAATTATTCGGGTACCTCCAGCTAGTCGGCCTATGCCGTTACCTCCATCCGACTCGGTTGCTAGTAGATTTGGACGAGCTTTTCAGTCACCTAGTCCGATTGAAGAAGAAACGGAAGATTCGGAAAGAGTCTCTTCTGAGGATATGGATACTGATTCCATTTTGAGGGATGGGGGAAGCCCCCAGATGATTGAACGGGATGAAGTGGAGGAAGGAGATGGGCAAGAAATGATGATGACGATGGAGGAGAACAGTCAAGATGGAGAGAATGGAGAGGAAGTGAGTTCGGCTCTTATTCGAATTTACCACTCCTAAAGATGCGTCTAGAAAAATATTTGTTGCAAATATTATATTCGACATTTGATTTTTCTTAAATCAAGTAAATGAGTATCTGAACACTCCTAAAGAGGTTTGAAGATGGTTCCCTCCCCCCTTAATTTACTCTTATATCCCAATATTTTTGCAGCAAAGTTACTTTCGTTTCAATTTGAAACCTCATGGAACCATGTAAGCTATCTGAACGGGTTTTGGAAATGACGCTAAATAATGAATGTCTGTTTCCTTAAAACTTAATTGCTCGTTTTTTTGTTATTATTGGAGTTTTGCTGCTTTTTTTGCATGTTGTCGGTGTTTGGCTTGGAAATTCATGAGATGAATAGCTTATGCATGTACACCTTTGCTTGTATCGAAAGATATGATTTAAAAGTATAAAAGACAAGGAGTCTAATTCTTTGATTAGGAGCTAATCCAATTTGGTTAAAAGTGTCAAATCTTTGGAAAAAACTTTCTCTTTTAACCACAAGGGTTTTAACAACTCCTGCTTTAGGTAGAGGAAAGGTGTTTTGGTATCACTATCAATAGAGCCTAACTACTACCAACTAACCCTTTTGTTGATCGATATTTCACCTCGCGATTGCCTATCAACATCAATTATCGATCTTTTGATTTATATTGAAAATAAGTGTTTCTCGGCACTCATGTTAGGCAGGTGAATATTATTGGAATCTCTGCAAAGATAGTCACATTTTGTCCATTATTTCCAATTGGCGTGATTACCGAATCCGTGATCTTTAATCCAAACGCCATGGTTTCAGAGGTCGTTTTATCTCACTTAACATCTTCACTGTAGTAAAAATGCAAATTTTCTTCCATATAAGTTATCAGAAAGTATTTACGCCCAATTTTGTTATTTATTTTCACTTGTCACCGCTCTAATTATCGTGACGGAGAGCAGAAAAAGCGGTTGTTTTGTTTTTAATGAATGCCAGAAGAGTTAACTTCAAAGCCACCATTCCATTAATGAGGACTTTGTGATCATCAATTTGACTTTTCAAATGAAGTGTTAGTCTTCAATAGCAACTAAGGAGATGGTTTCTAATTTTTAAGATGTCCTCAAACGAGAATTTACCGAAGTTCCCATGCATAAATTATCTTTGAATACCTTTTCGTATGTTATTTAATGTTAACCACAATAAGATGGTGTGAACTTCAAACTCATATCATTTAACGTAGTAGGAAAGCACCTCGCTATATATTGATGGGTGCAAATTATTGTCTGTTAAAAGAATTATGGTTTTCGAGATGGCTTAATATTTATTTATTTATTTCAAATGTCAGGCGTTTTGATAGCTATCATTAGCCCTTTAATTGACTTCGGGCTTCACAGGGGGAAGGTTCATCAAAGTAGCAGAAATTCGAGGGATGGGGAACAGAAGAGCGTTTCACAGATGTAAAAGAGGCAGACAGACACAAAGGTAGAGAAAGGGTAAGGTGAGCACTGTGAAAGGGGTCGAATATGACAACCAAGGGGGTCGTGGAAGTTTGAAGTCGGAAGTCAAATGCCGGTTAATAGACTTTTTTGTCGTATGAGTATACGTTGCCCAGGGTGCACCACGTGGAGGTAAGTCTATCGCACACCCCAGATGGCTTAATATACGTTCATTAACTTGAATGCCACAAAAATGAAATCACCCTAGGAACCTCGTAATTTAAACTTAATTTTGGAATATGAAGCATTAGGTCTTGACAGGGGTTGAAAATTTAAAGATGAAAACGAAATTAAAATCAATAGATGATTATAATAGATGATCTTTTAACTACTTAGTGATTTGGTGTACTGATTACCGACTTCAAAATTCTGCTCGATTTCACCCCTTCTCTTCTGTGTTTGAGTATTTCATGACTTCAATCTGTGGTCGTTAATGGTGTTCTTTTTACTTTGAAATGAGCAGAGGAGGTGCGTTCGTCATGCGTTAATTTAAATACTCCTCCACTCTCATCCACTTAAATACTGTTTTTAGAAACCGGAGTTGTTGTTCTCGTAATTTGAAATAGATTCCCAACTCATCTCATTAAATATGTGCATCATATTTCAGAAAGCGCTGTCTGTCATCTATTGGATTTCAGAATTCATCTTATTCCCTCTGTTCTGTTGGCATTAAATTTTTCATTTTTGAAGGTAGATACCAATCTTTGTTTAGTGATACTCCACTTAATCGACTGAATTTTTTAAACTTAAATTAAATCCGTACCTTGCGGAAATATGACAGTTACCCATCTCACGGTTATCTGCACTTAACTTTCGACGATATTTCCTCCCTCCCCAACAAACATTCTGATCGGTTCATTTAGATGGGAAGAAAAACGATTCAGATTTTATAGATTTAAATACAAAAAAAAGTTGAGCAAATATTTCACGCTTTCTTTATTTTGCATCTCTCTCATTTTTATAAAGTTTGTTTCAGCTAAAATTAACACGTGTGTGTGTGTGTGTGTTTGTGTCGGTCATTCCACTTACTGGTCTGTGTATCGAATAGTATTTTACCTGGAATCTCTGAATACATAAACCGCTGTGCTGCCGATTTACGTGGTTTTGGATTAACAGCTTTAGAAATTATGTTATTCAAAAAAGCGGTACTATTAAATCATTTTCGCCTAGAAAGTAGAATACATATCGGTCGCGACATCAATCCTATTGGTGTATTTCAAGGCCATAAATGTAACTTTTATAGGGTGTGTGGTGTATGCACCGGTGACTTAGCGGTCGCGTGCCCAACTGGATCATAAAATGGCATGGGTTCGAAGAAAAAGCAGTCGGGGTGTGTTTGTGTGTGCGTGAACGACCTGGTATGGGTAAAGCGTGAATGCGAATATTCCCTTGATTCTACCTTTTTAGGAAGAGAAACGGCCGAATTAATCTTAATTAACTCGTTCAAACCCGAGATGGAAAGCAGGAAATTGAACGGGGAAAGCTGGTAACTGGGGTGTGTGGGGGGGGGGAGTTACCTAAACTTAGTGATCCATTTCAACAACTTGACACTAGCCTCTTTAATCGACCTGTTCTCCTCACTGTGGCTGCATTATTGGTTTCGAATTCACTTGTGTATCTCAGTCATGATAGGCCATCTGTTAGTTTTGTGCTGTAAACAAAACGCAATCTCTGCTTTTATTGACTCAATTCATAAGTTGGTGATTTTGAGATTTAGTTATTAGCTTAATTCTGTGAACATTCAAGTCCATAGTTTACTACCCTTATTCGACAACTCTCTATTATAAAACTGAATTTTAACTTCTTAAAATTGCCTAAAGTTGAATTCGCATCACTTTATTTTGCAATGATTGTCAATTTTTCTCAGTTAAAGTAAAATTTCTAAAATGATGAAAGTTAATAGAAAATTATTTTGAAAGTCTCTGAGAGGCAAACACGTTGAATTCTGATTAAGCTTGGATTAAATTTAAATTGAAATTGAAAAGCACTTTTAACGAGGAAATTGAATTCTAGCATTACCTATAAGAAAAATAGCCTGAAGTACTTTTAACAAGATCTCAAGACATTTTCTTAATTTCGAATTGGTTTTTTTTAATTTGGTTACATCTGAAATGAGCGTTGAAATCATTATTAAATTTGCTTAGTTATTTAATCTTGTCTATTTTCTTATTTCTAATTGGCTAACACGGTTCACCTACCAGGATTTCATAACCCATAAGATGTCATGTCCAAATATTTTTTTCTAAATCTTTTATTTTTTGTTTTAGATGGCTCTGAACGGATTAACTGATATTTCCTCCGGTGATCAAGTTGTTCGAACAGCAATGTGAAGATGCTGACTCTATTTAACCGTCAACATTAATGAATAAAATTAAAACGGCACAATCTATTGCCTTTATAGTAATTCAATCTCTATACCTATTTTTGTAAACTTTTGATTCGCTTTTGGCTGTGGCCTCGACTGTGAAGAACACTCCTATTTGATTGGCTTCCTATCGTCCCCGCTTTCACAGTTGATTGGTCGGAGTCACACCTTGACCAACCAATGAATACTTACTTGTGCACAGTTATATTGTTTTGCTGTTGAATGTGTGAATAATGTGTAAATATTTAAAATTAGAAAAGGCAACCAACTCGTCTCACTCCTCCCCCTAAGGATGCAATGACGGACGTTTTTACAATAACTGAATCTCCCCTTCTCCCTCCCTTCCTTTCTCTCTCTCTCTCTCTCTTCCTCTCTCCATGTAACTCTCTTCTCTTTGGAATGACTTAAAAGAGACATACAGATATGTCACTGTGATTTTCGTTCAATTGACTTGGGAATTGAAAAGTTAACGTATTACTAATAGGTTCATCGATTAATTGGGAAGAGTTTTAGGTGGTCGAGTCAAACTAAAAGTAATTTATTATTGTAGTGTAAAGTTCGCCTATGGAAATTTGGTACAAATTTTGGCATAGCAAACAGAGTGATCGATAATTGAACTCTGGTTGAAAGCAAAGTTACGTGATAGTTAACCTTTTCAAAGGGGATATAAAATAATTTAACGTAACTTGGGATTTAATGTGGAAGTTTGATTGCAGGTAGGCATTCACACTATTAGGCATTCTATTACAGAACACATCTGACAGGTTATGACGATTTTGTGATGATTAAGGCATATTTCTGTAATTAGCTGCCAATTTCTCAGAACTGGAGCAAATTGATTTCCGAAACTCATAGAGTGGATGTTAATTAGTGAATTCGGGAATACTTGAACGTCATTACAAGTAGTCACAATACGATCCCTCTGTAGATAAGTTCTCCAATTATTTACTTAGTTATATCAAATGACAGGCTTTATGATAGTTATCATTAGTCCTTCTTTTAACTTCGGGCTCCACAGAGGGGAGGGACATCAGTCACAAAAAGTGGAGAGGGGTAATAGAGTGATTCGAATGTCTACAAGGGAAACTCACAACGGTAAAGAAAAAGGTAAGGTTAGGTGAGTACTGTGGAAGTGGTGAAATATGACATACAGTGGGGTCATGGTAGTTTGAAGTCAGAAGTAAACTGCCGGATTATAGACTTTTTGCCGTGTTAGGGTTAGATCAACTGCCGGTTTATAGACTTTTTTGCCGTATGCGCATACACAATGACATACAGTGGGGTCATGGTAGTTTGAAGTCAGAAGTAAACTGCCGGATTATAGACTTTGCCGTAAGAATATACGCTGCCCAGGGTGCACCACGTGGAGGTAAGTCTATCGCGCATCCCAGTTCTCCATTCATTGATTTCATATAAATTTGTTTCTTTTCTGGTGTACAAGTACTTGGTTCCTGTTTGTTATATTTTCCAAATAACTATTATTATAGCTTCCATTGTTTAGTCACATTTCCACCTAAAATACGCATTCGAGGCATATTTTTAGATGCACTTTTAATGAACCCCTCAAGGCAGGGATTTAATTTTGTCGCATGAAAATTATTTTTCAAATATTTCCCTTGAGAAAATAATATTGGTTATTTATGTCAGCAATATTTGCATATTGGGGAATTTGTAAATTTTAAGGTCACAATTAAAGTTCATTCTATATTTAACTAGCTTAGTTTCATTAAAACGAATTTTTTATCGTTTTATAATGTGTGAAAAGACTTCGTTAATCATTACTGCCCATTCCAAATAAGCTGGTGCCAAATGTATATTAGACATCATAAATTTTTGATCAAGTTTTAAAAGAACTTCACTGTGCTTCCTCTACTAACATGGCCTTATTACAAGTCAAGACGATGGAAACCTAGGTTAGCATAACTTAAATTATATCAACTTGAAATTTTATTAAATTTTGAAGGCTGTGTTCTGTTTTGTAATAAAGGATTTAATTAATTAATATTCATCTAAAATTAAGGCAAAAATAATAATTAGGTTGATGCTCCTATACTGGAATCGGTGTCATCCTAAACCTAAAATTTATTCTCCATAAACTTTATTTATTCTGCATATGAAGCCGTATGAGATTTGATTTTAAGCAGCTTATAGCACATTCATTGCAAAAAAGTTTAAAATCAAATTTCCTGATTTTCCAGAGATAAGGAGATGGTTTTCCACACTAAATGAAATTAAGATCTAAACAAGAAGCGGACGCGAAGTCAAAACTAGAAGTGAAACTAGAACGAGCAAGACTACTTTGATCTCAATTTCAAATGGCGTAAAATTCCGTTTCATGCCAAAGTGCACTGGCCAAATAAAGAAAATTTTGTTGGTTCTATAAACACGAAATCTATTTACCCAATTTGCGCATTCAGAAAAAAATGATTTGATTTTTTTGCGGTAGTAATTCGTTTAGGGAACAAATTCAATTACCAACACCCAATTGATAAAAGAGCTCCAAATATGCTTATAAGTGCGATGGAAGTATAAAAAATGATTTAGCTAAGAGGATTTACTGTCGCCATGTTATTGTATTGATTGAATTCGTGATTAGAATATTCGATATAAGTATTTTTTGTAATATATCAATATTGCTTTCATTTATGAATTCCAATTTTATTATTTTTGACTACTGAATAATTCATATTTAACCTTCAAATATCTGATACAATGCGTTCTTATACCTTTCAGGTAATGTGGAAAGCCTTTCCGCAGAAAGGCGAATGCTTCAAAAACTCTATTAAAAACTTTACTTTCTAAAGGAAATGTACTAAAATAATTACTTTAAAAACATTTTTAAGTCGAACTGTCATATTCTGGCCATCAAAATGGATTCTAATTTTAAGTCACAACTCAGAATGGCTCCCGATTAGATCTTCAAAAAACACTCCTTGAAAGTTTTTAATGTTTTAAGCCCTCAGATTCGCTTTGATTTGAACTCAACATGAAATGTAATTTTAGTAACTGCCTTTATGAGAATGAAGAACATCTTAATCGAATGTATAATTAAGCGAGGACTGGAGAATTCCGCATACTTTCCCAGGTTCATATATCCTGAGTCAAAAAATGATTCCATTTGCTCTTTACCTTCCTTCTTAATTGGTTAAAGTCAATTTCACATAAGTCTGGATACCACATTTAAGGAGTTATAACCCAACACTGTTTCCTGTAAATTCCCTTCCGTTAAACGAAATTTTTTCTGCACTTCATTCACTTGGAACAAATCTTGTTCCTACTCGGTCCGCTTTCTTTCCTGTATTACCCTATTTTGAGGTGTTTTGATCTCCTATCTTGTCCCTAAATGGTCAAAATAATCTCTGTATACTAGCACTAGTGTTGATTTGAAGACTCGATATTTTGCAACCTAAAAATTTAAATTGGTGGCGTTAACAAAACTTTATTTTAGTTTATTTGTATGTCATTTTCGACATTTTGAAGCACTCTTCTGTTCCACCTCTCTCAACTTTTTTCACTTTGATGTTCCTTCCCCTCTGTGAAGCCTGAAGTCAACTAAAGGGCTAATGATAACTATCGAAACGCCTGCCATTTGATATAAATAAATTTTAGTTTATTTTCTTTGAAAATATTAATGCAACCAAATTAGATTAAATTAGAAGCTTTCTGCATGATGCAGAGAACGATAAGAATATGAACGGTCAAATAGAATGAGATTCATTCAATTTTTATTTATTATTATTTGATTAATCATGTGCAAGAAACAGTTGTATGGCCAAATTAATATTTATAATTTTTTAACGATATTACTGATAAAATTTAAAATCAGGTTTTTATAAATTACTATAATTTAATAAAGTATTTTAAATGTTGCTCAAAACCAGAATAACCATTTGTTATAAACAGACTGAAGTAACTCATCTTTAAATAGGTATGCTTAGTCTGATTTTTTTACTAGTCAAGTCTAGACTGAAAGGCAACCGTCATGGATGGAGAACTTAACCAATATAAAATTTTATTAAGCGATGAATTATTCTTCAGGTGCGGGGAGCGATACACTTACCTCCACGTGGTGCACCCTAGGCAACGTATACTCATACTGTAGAAAAGTCCATAAATCGACAGTTGACTTCAAACTATCGGCAAAAAAATTCTATTAACCGGCAGTTGACTTCTGACTTCAATGTAGAAAAGTCCATAAATCGACAGTTGACTTCTGACTTCAAAACTACCATGACCCCACTGTATATCATATTTCACCACTTCTACAGTACTCACCTCACCTTTTTTCTACCTTCGTGTCTGTCTCTTTTACATCTTTGAAACACTCTTCTGTTCCACCCCCCCCCCTCTCGAATTTTTTCACTTTGATGTTCACTCTCCTCTGTGAAGCCCACAGTCAACGGAAGGGCTAATGATAACTATCATTAATCCTACCATTTATTATAAATAAATAAATAAATCTTGCAGGAGCACAGTTTTTACCACTGGATCCGAATCGGTCACAGTGCTAAAATGCTCTTATTGGTAATTCTGAATTAACCTCCATAACAGACTTGGCACCCCGCAATATATGCACCTCTTTCCTTTTCTCCATTCAACCTTCCTCGCTATAAATTCACGTTAGCTTAGACAATGAGTTCTGTCAAAATCAATTTCATGCGGGTCTCTCTGTCATTCCGTGAATTGCAATACTTGTCTGTGGACACCATAAACTCTAATTCGGTTTTGATCTATCGATTTCGGTGCCTGCATTGCAGTGCTAAATGTCTCATTTTTTTTGGAATCATGCAGTAGCTCAAAAAATTTACCTCAAGTAACAAATACGTTAGTTTGCATTCCTAAATTTTTCCTAAGGGATAAGACTAAAATGTCCTTATTTTGTCCTTATTTATAAGTAATAAGTACTGCAATAGACTTATTGTAAAGTGTAACTTGACTCGAGAACTGTTATCAGATAAAGTACTCATTTCTCAATTCAATGTACTTATTATAGATGCAAAGGGAGACGAACCAATTGAATACCATGGGTAAGCAAAGAAGGTTAAATATTTGTAAAAAAAATTGACTGGCAATCTGTGGTTTCTGCAGTAGCCAAATCGCTGACCATCACCGCATTGTCATAGTGGCCGCAAGATCAAAGAACTAACCAATGTGTCTAATCACTAAAACTCTCCTGTGCTCAGAATCTGATGGTGCCCGATTTTGACTTATTAATATATAAAAATGACTTGAACAATCTTTCATGCTGAATAATATGACCTGACTTCGAATACAGCGATTAAAGTTGAACCCATTTGTACTTTTGTGTGACCCCTGCTAGCCCCCGTCACCCTGGTACTACCTTGACTATTAGAGGAAAATAGCGTACAAAATGCAAATGGCACTATATAGCAACTTATATTTCAATAACTTTGCCGGTGGAATTGTCACCACCTTAGTAAATTTCAGCGTGAACTTTACTCTGCTCTCAGTAGATTTCGAGCGAATTTGTGAAATTGTAGCCAGTCAAGTACAAACAAAATTAAAGTGAGTCAAAGAAAACTAAATTTCAGTGCATTTTTTCTTCACGCGTCTTCAGAGTTGGCTCCAACTGAGTGGAATGGCCTCATACTACCTCAAGGAAAGAGGCATACTAGAGCAACAGCTTTCAAGAACTACTTATTCAAAGATCAATTTCCTTTCCCGCCAGTGAAGGTATTGTTTAAAAGAAACTAACTACATCCCCACTATAAGCTTATTCAGAATCTACGGGTAATTATCACTCCTCAAAGCAAGGAATTGCATACGACATTCAAGAAAACTATTTATTAGGGTAGCTCAGTTGCCAGCTAAAATGTTTCGAGTGAGGAGAAAAGACAAATACAAGTGAAGCAAAAGGAATTTAATCCAAGATTGAAGTTCTCACTCTTGAGAGTCAAATTTTATCAAATAACATGAACTCTCAATAAGAAACACCGTTCAAAATGCTGTCTCCCATGTGAAGCAGTCTGCACTTGTATTTAGGCTGCTTTCAAAAAGTAAAACTAGAATATTAGATGCCTTGTCAAAGGTAACTCTGTTAAGTGGATTAACCTTAGGAAAATTTTCTGAATGCTCTGTTAGCTTTACTACAAGCTTTATGACCAAGCCAAAATTTTATTTGAATTCAACTTTGCTTGAAGAACGATAATATCTCAACCACACATAAATTCCAACAGTCTTTGACTTGATTCTCTGATTTAGAAGTTGCCAACAATCCAGTCCAACGTGTTACGCTAGATAAGCTGACCAATGAAAGCATTAAGTCGACACTGCCTTTACGACATTAATATATTCAATAGAAATTATATCTACTTATATACACTAAGTAGCAAATACATTTTACCAGAGAAAGGAAAGGATTTCACACCATTCAAGAACCGTACCTCATTCAAAGAAAATACAAATTTAAATAGAATGAAGTGACAAAAATTATTGCATTTTTGTATACACATATGGAAAAGAAAGGACGAGGGGGACGGAGGAAGCAAATACCAGAGGGACATACATTCAAGATTGTTTCATACATAGACGTATCCTAACACTCAATGAATAATTTGGACTACATTGCAGCTACTCATCTCCCAAATCCATCGTTTCTTCATCATCCTCATCAAAACTAAGTTCTTCCTCTACATCTTCTAACCCGCCCTCCATACTGCCTCGTCCGGCACCTCCACCAGAAGGCTGCGTGGACCAAGGTGTTCGGAAAAGAGAGTTTGGACCACCAGCCTGCTCCTCTATGGTTGAATCCACACCGGCAACGGAATTATTAGGCGTAGTAGCAGTTGAAGTAGCACCTATGCGAAAAAGAAAAATTAATAAATTTGTAACTAGGGTTGCTTCTTAACACCTCAATTGAAGTCTCGGAGGGGAAATTCATATTTATCAGTACGATGAACATGCAATTCACTGAATGCTTACTGATAAGTAACGAATTTCTGACCTCTACATAGACATAAGTGTTGGCCTATATTGCAGCGGTGAGTGTGGGATCATCTGAAGCTAACATGGTTAATGTAGACATCTACCAAGTAAGCGATTGCGAGACCGATGCCCACTGGCGTTCATCCAATGAAGCAGGTGGATAATTCGTCCAGTTTTATTCTTTTCAATGTGAATGATCGAATAAGTATTTCTTATATGGACGGCTCTATTACTAAAGTCAAGTATTGTGAAAACTGCTCTCGGTGGGCTTGGGGCGTTATTATTAAACGAAACGAATTGCTAGACATTGATGGCATAAAAATGTTGTCAAAATTCCCTATGACGAGGCACCTTGGGCTCACCCCCTTGATAAAAACTTACCAAGATTTGAAATTGGAGTAAAGGCTTTACTCACTAAAATCAAAGTTGAAGAGTAGAGGCTAGCATAAGTTTAGCTAGCCTAAATTTCTACTCTATTAGTACTTACGACCAATTGGGAGAGTACAAAGCGTGGTGCAAGCAAATGACAGGAAAAGAAACGTCAAAGGAAAGTTGAAGAATCAATAAACTAAGCCAAGAGGGAGATACACTAGGTTAAGCATGATAGAATGGGCACGGTTAAGTAAAAGCTAATCACAATTGTGGATAGATTTAAAATAATGGAAATGGACATAAATGCTTCTTGTGACACCTAGAGGCGGCTGAAACAATTTTTACTGTGTTCTACTGTTAGATGCAATAAATAGGAGAAAACTACCCCTCTTCACAAGTCCACATTGGAGAAGATTGTAGGAAAAACAAACTAAGACCAAAGGAGAACATATACGAATATTCAGCAAAGAAACGTTCGTATTATAAAATCAAACTAAATGCACACAGAAGAAAGGAGATATTTACTTGTACACAAACACGGGATCAGAAACGTCAATAATAACTACATTTATGTGCATCGGCGGCACAGTGATCGCCCCGTACCTTGACCAGGTTAGAGTTTTCGGAATCAATGTTTATCGGGGAACAATTGGTGAAATCCTATGACCAGTCACACTTCATGATCCTATTTACCAAGACATAGAATAAAATGCTAGTTTCTATACAATTAATTTTCCAGAACGCTTCTTTTCTACAGAATTCTAGCGCCATCAGCACTTTCCTCAATGGGTTTGGGATTTGGCTACAGGCATCAACCCGAAGTGTTTTTTTTAAATTGATAGAAAGTAACGTTATAAAGGGTCGTTAAACCATATAGTCAATGGAATAAAATTCGATATTAAGACGCCAACGCTGAGTTTTTAGAATTAAACATCAGGTTGAAATCAGCATGGTTGGTCATACCAAGCAATATACATCAATAAGTATTAAACCTATGACAAATTGCGTTTAACTGATAACTAAACACAGAAAGCTGTAGTTGAATAATCGTTAAAATCCCAAGACTTATTAATTGACTAAAAACGGACTCACCTGTCCGAAGATTGCCAACAAGTCTAAGCAAACAGAAATACCGAATAAGACCACATTTAATCCTTTTTATGTAAACTAATTTAGGTTATGAGATATTTTTAATCCACAGAGTACTAGCTTACTTAATGTTAGTAAATATTAAAATCCTCTTAGTTTGACAACATGTGCACATTAGAATTTCACTGCTTAATATTTGTAAGTAATATCGATATTTACCAGATAGAAATAATCTGTGCGCGCCATTTCCACGCCCAAAAGCGGCGGTTGCCGTTGGTCTTCCACGTGCAGATCTGCGTGCTCGAGGAGCCGTACTCCCACCACCGCCTCCTCTTCGACCTGCAGCTCTTGTGGAAGTTGAGGAGGGAGTCGCTTGTGGAGCCGTATCAGTTGGGGAAGCGTAGGGCGGAGGATGATCGACCAGCGTTGCCGCTGCAGCACAGACGAAGGGAGCAAGGGGTGCAACACGCTGACCACCACCAACACGCGGACCACCTGGACCCCCCAGACCTGAAGGCCCACTAGCCATTATGTCACGGAGACTGGAATTCACACCTTTGGGATCGAGCTCCATAGCCCAAGAGAAGTAAATCATGGATTGAGGGTGGTTTCCAATCTTTTGGTAGGCGTTTCCGAGCATAAAGTAGATCATGGCCTCATGTGGAGTGATGACCATCAAACGCTCGAGTTCATCAATCGACTCCTGAATTGATGAAAGAAAAACAGTGAGTTAAGACTTGAAGGAAGCCTACAGCATTTCAACCGCCGAGTGCCGATTACAATAAAAAAATTGCACAGTCAAAATCAAATCTTTACCTTTACAATACCATAGATAAAGTAAGGCTCACATTTTTCAGTAATAAAAAGTCGAAAAGGATATTATACATTACTTCGATACAGAACTTAAACAGTACACACATTCAAATATCGAAAATGTCAAAAACGATTAAACAGCGCGTATTGAATAATTAAAATTTAAATATTAACATTCCATCCATAAATACGACACCCTAAACTATTGTCTACTCGAAAGTCCTCCACCAAATATAACCATATAAATTATTTACGGAATCACCCCTTGGCACTATTAAATGGAAAGCAATTAGGAGTACCTACTTCCATTTGAAGCTATTTGATCATGCCCCAAAAATAACTTCGTCCATTGAACACACCATAATTACATTCATAAAATAAGTCACGCTTTTTTAAGTAGAGGGAAATGAACATCAATAAGCTTAAAATCATAGAATTACAGAATAAAAAATCTAGGACAAATAAAAAATATTAACTTACAGAATGATACAAGGTAAGTGTTGTCAACGTTTGTATTGGGAAAAGAGAAGGTATCAGAGAGTCAATCACGAGAAACTCATTTTCTGACACCGACTGGAAGGTATGATTAATCAGCACAGCTGAACATCCAGGTCATGGGATGAGGACACACATATCTCGCTTTATAAGCACTGATACAAAGGAATGGGAATCGGCACAAATGGCCAACCGACCAACTGACTAGTCCATCCTGTAGACATTAGCAAAGACCGAATATCTGAGCTCGAAATTTTATCATTAAAGCTAGAAGCCGACTAAAATCATTCAAAACATGTCCAGCGATAACCCCTTAGCAAATTCAGCAGAATTAAATCAGGCTATTACAATAAGATCTCCATAGTTAGGAAGGCCAAACTGTCTTGGTTTTCATAACTGATGACAAGCGATTTTTGACACAATTATGGCCAAAGGGGGTCACCTCTTAATACAAACAGCATGTTTGGTCATTTCAACCAACTCAACGTGTGCTGTTACCTTTCAAGTCAAGTTTGTACATGATTATTTTACTACAGACATACCAGGAGGGTGAATAAGGCTTAAGTATGAGAAAATAAGAAGCAATATTGATTAACCAGATGAACTAGACTCGAAATCCAGTAGTCATCATTTAGCAACTGAACCGTCTAATTTGAATATATATTGAAGAGCATACTCAACCTACGCAAAGGTCACTTATAAACTCCAAGCTCACAAGTTTTTAGCATTCATCTTGAACAGAAGATTAGCAACCTTAATTGGATGACGAGGAACTCACATTATACCATAAACTCTACGGTAAATCTATTCCCAAGTTTATTCATACTGGTCACTGGAAGTGAACTGATGGGTATTAAACTCGCAAGAGATTTATTTGTTGATCACTACACCACAGGCGTACACATTTTAATGGCCAACAAGTTCCCAAAAAGACCTAAATTAATCTTATCTGATTTGAAATAAGCTCTAAATTAGACGAAAAGGGGAAATGTGCAAAACAAGGACAAGAAGAATAAAATTCCTATATTTATTGGGAGCCAAAGTAAAGAGGTCCGCAGCGCAACCAAGAAAGGCAGTAATTTTTACCTAAGAAATTCGCTAAATATGGGAACTAAGGAGGCAAAGTAAAAAAGATCTAGACTTGCAAGGAGAATATAGCTAAAAGGACTAAGGGCCTTAGAAATGTTAGAAGTGTTTAATGATGACCTGAAACCCAAGACTGAGATTTAAGACCCCACCCCACCCTACCCCAAACAAATCGAGGAAATAAATACACTAACCTGAAAGCGACCAAGTTGGGTTAGGATACAGGCTCGATGGTACAGTGCCATTGGATTTGTCGGATCAATTTCCACTGCTTTATTAAGTAGACTGATTGCGCTCCCTTCATCTCCTTCTAACCTTCCAATTCTTGCTCGAATTGCACCAAGATGGGTGAGAAGAAGACAGGAGTTGGGGAAAATACTCAACGCTCTCACTAAATGCGCATCCGCAAGGCCAAAGTAATCTTGCTTAAAGTAGACATTACTCAAACCAAATCTTGCACTGTAATTACGTTCATTCAGTCTGAGGGCATGACGAAAAGCAGAGGCTGCACGGTCTAGGTTCTCCACTGCAACATATTCATGGCCTAACAGAGTGCAGGCATAGGAATCTGTGGGGCAGACTTGCATAGCTCGACGTAAAAATCTAATTGAGGTATCATGTTCACGCAGTAAGGCATAGTAATTCCCTGCAACTGACCAAGGAATACTTGACGTTCTATCAAGGGCTAGAACATCACTAGCTAATTGGGATAACTCCTGCTCAGCACCTTGGTACCAGAGAACTGTAGAGTATATATCCATGCCACAGAGATTCCAGGGTTCAAGCTTTCTTAATTCACTAAAGATTTTTCTGGCTTTTGAGTAACCTGCAGCATCTACGTGAGCTCTAGCAGCCCAAGTGAGTATTTGACCTGTAGCCAGGTGTTCAAAGGGTAACTCTGATAGCAAAGTCACTGCACCCTTGTAGTTATGCTGAGCGAGTTGACTATAAGCATGGCCCAAGAAGCGGAGGAGATGAAGATATGCGGAAATCGCGTCCGAACGGGGGTCGTTTCGATCATCAGAGGCTGTACATAGAACTCGTGAGCACTCGAACAAATCATCTTTTCCACCTCTAGGGATATTCACAATTCTGCCAAAGGATTTTCGACTATCTCCAGAATCCTTAGAATCATCCAAAGTTGCCTTGTGTGCCCTAGAAAGACGAGGAGATTTTCTACAAGCCGCCGCCCTTGCTTTTTGAGCTCGAGTTCGAGGTCCTACAGCAGATGTTTCTGGAGAAATCTCTATTTGTTGGTGGCTACTTTCAGAAGTTTCAGTAGTATCCATAGGTTGAAGACCAGCCATCGTAGTATTCACAGTATCGTCAAAAATGAGGCCTGGTTTCGGTGGTACTGGGATGGCAGCGGCAGCGGCAGGAGTTGAACTCGTAGAAACAAGGACTGAGACGGCTGAGGGATTCGATGTCCACGCGGGTAGAGGCGATACACCTCCAGTTCTACCGAAAGTTGGTACAACAAAACCAGGCTGACTTGGAGTTGAGATATTAGCCTCTTTGGCACGCCACTGAGGAGATGGTCCCGTTGGGTTGCTCTCAGAAGGAGAAAAAAGAATAGCGGCTTGAAGTTGGCCACTAGTCATCATTGGTGTTTGACGATTTGCTGGTCTGCGATTAGAAGTGCTTTGAGTTAGAGCTAACCTAACCGGCTGAACACTCTCAGAAGCCACTAGTAAAGGGGTAGAGTTAAAATCAGAACGAGAGAAGACCTACAGAAACAAACAGATTTCCCAAATCAGACAAAAAATGAATGGAATTTTAAGAGCGAGAAAAAGGAGATTTCTTACCGGTAAACAAGCAAACATTGGACTTGGGAGAACAGCAGTACTAGACCCGCCAGGCGGAGAAGGCTCATTTGAGACAGAGGAACTTTCATTAAGAGCGATTTTCTTCAGTTTTGTCTCCTCTTTAAGCATAATAGGTGAAGAGGGAGTGATCGATGAAACTGGGAATCCGACAGGGGTAAAATTGACGGGAAGATCATCAGAAATGTCTTGGTTAGAGACTGTGCACGGAGCAACATAGGTGCTTTTTACTATCTGTACAGAAACAGTTGCGGAAGTATTTAGATTTTCTGAATCGTTTTCATTCTTCAAATCAGAAACCTCATTGATGGGACTGTTAGGATTCACATTTTCCCGACTTCCCAATTTATCTAGAGCCGTCTTAACACCTATACTCACTGTCGATTTCGCTGAAGCAACGGATTCACCGACAACAGTAAAAGTCGGTGTGAGGATCCCATGTGAAGGACTCAATTTGAATACTTCGTCAGGATCAACGAATTCACTGATGGAGCAGAGGTTGTGGAAAGCCGACCACATCATAGGATTCGATTTAAGACACTCTTTATAGCATAACTGAGCCTTTTTAAAGTCATTTTTATATCTATATACATTCCCAAGTAGTAAAAATGCATAACAAGCTTGTTCCCCATAAACTAATAAGGCTTCTGAAAGAGGTTTGGAACAATCAGGACCGAGAAGGGCGTTTTCGGCATCATTGAGCATATTGCAATCGTAACAACATTTAGCTAACAGATAACGTGTCTTGGGAGAAGAGAAGGTATTTAAATTCAGAAGTTTGATGACCTGTTTTGGCGCATTCATTCGATAAAGACAGGTAGCAACTAAAAAGAGACTCTCTTCGTTTTTCGCTTCCGCAAATAAGCGTTCAGCGGCAAAAAGTGCCTCGTCTAAGGCGTGATTATGAAGGGAAAACCATATATGACTCGATATAGGATCCGAGACGATTTTCACTTCATTTATCATTTTTGCAATGTAATATTTACACACTTGGCTAATTCACTGATCAACAATTGAGAATTCGATATGATCTAAAATAGGAAAACGATAAAAGTTGAAAAATAAAAGATCATTCTAAAGTTTATTTAAATGTTTAATGAAAATATTCAAAGAATATATGATTAACACAATTTATTGTACAGATGAGGATCTAAAAATCGCGCCTTACATTAATCCAAGTGAGAACTACTTTGAATTCACGCAACAAAATAAGCTTTAACTAACACGTTATCGAAAAAATATAGAAATTATTCTCTAGCAAGATTACTTCACTAACATTTATTGAGGTCATCCTTATATTTAATAATATGTGGGGAAAATTTTTACTCTCTAACTCTAAAGTTAGTTCTTGTTATGCCAAAGGTGAATAGAAGAACTGATAATGAGACATTTCCTATGCTCCATAAGGATGAATCCGTTTAAAAGTTTATTCTGGGGTGGATATTTATTTAAGATACTTACATCTTTAACCTTTGGTTATTTCCTTTATTCAACACAACACTTTTGTCAAATATATGCTACCAATTCGAATCTCTCCGGGAAATATAATGAAATAGTTACATATCTAAATTTAATTAGAAAATTAATTTAGAATTTTTCTTGTTTTTGCTCTTTGAAGTGTAATTCTGTTTAGTTTTATACAAATCGTCAATTGAGAAATCTGGAGAAATCTTAATTCAATAGAAGTGTTTGGAAAGGCTCTATTTAATTTAATATCTCATGGCCGTAAAATTATAAGTTTTCGCTTAAATAAGCAGAAGGATCCTTGTAAATATACTTTTGCGAATTTGCATGGTAAATATCATCACAGTCTAGTTGCTTGTTGAAAAATACTAAGCTTTTGATATTAATATCTTAATAAATTCTTTTTTCCCTTCACTTCGTAAACGTAGTATCTTTTGCTTTGGAGTGACAGTTAATATGTAATTAATCGACTGTACAAAGGGGTTAATTGTTCATTGCTATAATATTTAGAACAGCTAGTTCTCGAGTCTGTTCTAATAAATATAACTGGATCATTTCATGCGCTAATAGTTCGCCGTTTTGTTATCAGCATACTAATATACTTTGCTAGTTGTAATAATTACGTACAAAGTAGGTACGATAAAATGAGTCCTAAAGCAATTCACAAACAAATGAAAAAAGATATAACTACTCATTTAAACGAGCTTTTGAATTCGAGTCATTGTTGGTGATTAAGTCATGTAACTCTTTGCCTATCATATTATGTTACTAAGGAATAGGCAAGTTCGCATTTTCTTACTCATTAGCATTGAATGAAAGAATGAATATATTTGGGCAGCAAAAGTACATGACCATGTCATCAAAAAGACGCTTCAGAGGTTAAAATACAATCTACTCTAACTATTGAGTATTACTTGATAAAGTGGGTATGTTTTGCTTAAATATTGAATTTAGCGTTTAGTATTTTGGTTTAGTTTTGAAATTCTTTAATTAATCTAAGCCAAGTTTGGGTCAAAAACTTCAATAATACTGCTTTATACGATCATTCTGCAGATAGTTCTTTCCCGTCACCTATTCGTGAAGTTTTAAATGCCTCGATGCGACTTTCTCATGAGCTTTGCATGGGCTTATCCTTCTTGAAGTTTATTTTCAACTTTTATGTCTTTATCATTTATGAAAATTCACAGCTGTAATTACTCGAAGATCATATTTACCCTTTTCCCAATTTTCATAAAGGCATTTCATTTAAAATCCAAGGCATATGAGTATAGGCTTTGCTTGCATGAACTAGCCAAGCTATGTGATTTATTTCATTACTTTATTTAAAACACGTCGTACCTGCTAAATTTAATAATGATCGGTATGGGTCAAAATGAATATTTATATTGATCCTCCCATATCTTAGTTATTATTAGTATACTATTTAGATACCTCCATTTACTTGATCGGCAGAATATTTGCTGACTGAAGCAAAGAAATGTGATTTTAAAATCATTTAATCGAAATTACACGAGATATTCTATATGGGCACTCTGATAAATTACACTATAAGAGATAATATTTAAAACATCAATTCAATGGATATATACCATTTGCATTATACCGATGGTTATGTAGTTCTAGAATATCATTACCTTAGTTTTGACTTTTAAAAACATTTATTTATTTATTTTAAATGGCAGGCGTTTTGATAGTTATCATTACCCCTTTAGCTGACTTCGGGCCTTACAGGGGGGAGGAACATCAAAGTGAGAAAAAGTCGAGAGGGTGAACAGTAGAGTGATTCATAAATGTAAAAGAGACTAAGACAAGGCAGAGAAAAGGTAAGATGTGTACCGTAAATGGTCGAATATGACAGTGTCGGGTCATGGTAGATTGAAGTCAGAAGTTAACTGCCGATTTACAGACCTTTTCGTCGTATGAGCATAAGTTGTCCAACGTGCATCATGTGGAGGTAAGCCTATAGTACTCCCCTACATTGATTTATAATTACTGTTTTATTCTGATTTTGATTCATATTTCGTGTTTTAAACAATAGTTTCTTTAAATGCTTCGATGCTCATAATAGTGAAGGTTATTTAATTTACGTATTTAGAAATCTTAAAACGACGTAAGAGACCCATTCGTTCAATCTATTAAACTGAACTGTGTCAAAACTAAGTTATTTAAGCAAAAGTAAAGAGTCTAGTCATTGTCAGATTAAAATTTTGATTCCCAGTAAAATTAGCAAATCTCTTTATCTAAGGTAATAGTTATTGACATTTAGTTTTAGTAAATGCGTAGTTGTTATTGTTAAATCAATCTAATTTATTTGTCGAAGCAATAGTAATGCATGTTTCAAAATCGGATTTCACTGTAATAAATCTTTTTGCTCTAAATTTCTCTAAAGTATCCAACCTCAGTCAATACAGCAGTTCTTGTAGCGTTTATGAGATATAGTTTAATCTTTTGTGCTTTAAGGTTCAATGTATCTAGGAGGCAGTAAAGCCACACACACTTGAATTTTTATAAAGTATTTCATCTAAAAAATCACAATGATCATATTCATAGAGCATTCTGTTATACTTATGCTAAATTTTCCGATCTCGGTTTTATGGTGCTGGACAGACTTTAAGTGCCATCTGAAATTGTCTTAATTTCAGTACACTGATTTCGTTCATCAAACTTGCATTATTAAAGCCTTACATACCACCTGAGCATAAAAGTAGTGTAAATAAACTCTATGAAAGCATCATCCTCTTTGAAGTTCTGTGGGATAGTGTTAGCGCCCATCTGCAGAGGGAAGGAGGTGGGGGGGGGGGGAGATGTGGGGAATGGGAAGATTAAAGAAACGACCACCCGCAGCTCAACTGATTAATCGTCTGCAGTATAATTAATGCCGAAAATCGCTGTTCAAGTTATTAAGCAACCGATATGATAATAAGGGAAACTTATTTGTCTTCCATCGGAGGCATTGCACCACGTGTCCAGTGAATTAATTAGAACACCATTTGAGGTATTCCGATGTTGCACAGATAGCAATATATTACTACAAATTAAAGCATGATTTTTCACCACCCTGAAAGGTATTAAAATTTATTACAACATTAGCTTAAAGTTTACAATCTCTAAATAACAAATATTGAAAAGGTTCAATTCACGAAACTACGTGTACCAAATCGTCCTCTCATTTTCCAAAATACTCTCTTTTCATTATTCCATTTGAATGCTGTGACCTCCATACCTCTAACACCCCCATCATTAAAGAAGTAGGTGTCAATGTCAAATCCAAAAGTGTCAGTATATATTAAAAATTACCTTATTTATTTTCTATTTTCCTTAAAAATTTAAGATTATGTAAGAACAGGTATTATGCACACTATAATCTAACATTATTGTTGACAATCGCAAATTATTTTCACATCTTCCACCAGTTACAAATACAAGCTAACAAAAGCAGATATCAAGAGCCAAATAGATTCGTTATGCTAAATTCGGTATTTTTCGGGGTTAAATATTATAAGATTAAAAAATTAGTCATTATATAAGGAAAGTTTATTGATTTATTTTTTTATCTCAAGTGACAGGCGTTTTGATAGTTATCATTACCCCTTTAGCTGGCTTCGGGTTTTACAGAGAGAAGGAGGAACATCAAAGTGACAAAAAGTCGAGAGGGTGACAGAATAATGAATCACAGATGTAAAAGAGACAGACAGACACAGTGACAGAATAATGAATCACAGATGTAAAAGAGACAGACAGACACAAAGACAGAAAACAGGTAATTCGAGTGGTATGGAAGCGGTGGAATATGACATACAGTGGGGTCATGGTAGTTTGAAGTCAGAAGTCAACTGTCGGTTTATTGACTTTTCTACCGTATGAGTATACGTTACCCAGGGTGCACCACGTGGAGGTAAGTCTATCGCGAATCCCATATATGGTAATTAAAGAAGCATCAAATGAAAGGGGAAAGCGAAATAGAATAAATATTTTGCTTAAAATATAGTTTTATTTCCTCCATAAGACTTGTCTTCTGCCTTTCAGAAATCATTATAAGTCATGGATTGGCTGATGAAGTATTACTATTACCATGATTATGACCCGTGACAATGCGAAAATATTTCATGATGCTCTGTCATGGGAGCAAATAGAGTAGCAAAATTTTAGAGAAAGGGAGTGTAGGTGATCGAATAATGGTACGCAACGAAGTCGGGAAACTCTTGACTGTCCACCTCCCCGTAAATGCTATGTTCTAAAATTGATGAGCTTCCGAATGTGAACCTGCTTTCGATATTCGGAACTTCTTGCCACTTCAATTTACTTGAATTGGCGGTGGCGTCACTTGGGTTAATTTATGCCTCCATAAAACCGCGAGTAAGTAGATTAATGAAGCAAGGACTCGGGTAACGTCCTTCGAGTAGTGCGCACCAAGAAGTACTTACGTCTCAATGTCAATTTCTTCATTGGCTTTATTGCTATTGGATGACTGCTTTGCTTGCATGTCGTGGTTGTTTCGGTTA